AAAAAATTACCAAAATAGAAACTTCTATAGTTCTATTTCTATGTAGTATAAAAACTTTGCCATAAGCCATTAGAATACTGAAGTAAGCTTTAAAAAAAATAAAATGTTACTAAATAATTCAATACATTTTAAAAAGCATGTTATTATATCAAGTTATTGCGATTGTTCTTAACAATATATTTGCCTGTTTGCTACCTGCATAATTCAATTAACAAGGAAGATAACATTGAAATGCAATTATCAATTTTCAAAATGTATCTTTAAAATTTTTTTTATCAAATATAAAGGTATGTAGTCATCGTTTATAATAATATATATATATAGATATATATTATATACACATTATACAGAATAATAAGATAAGGGTCATAAACTAAGTTTTAGGAAAATGAAGAATCCAAAAATATAGTTAAACCAAACAGTTACAAATTTATTTTTTATTAATTTAATAAAATAATAAGCAGGACTAGATTAAAGATTTTGGTTACACGTTTTGGTGGTTTAATAATTTATATAATTGTTATCAGATTAAACTAAAAAAAAATACAATTTATTTTTCTTTGTTTAATGTGCGTATACATAATAAATATTCTGTAAATAGAGCAAAATATAGCAGATCGTTTTCAATGTACGTTAAACTTGTAACGCCAAAAGACTGCAGCTATTTTGCTGACAAGCACATGACTAGGTTTTATATAATATAAGTAGTATTAGATCTGAATTCTCTAAGAATGTATTAAATATAATTTAATGATCTATTGTTTAATTTTAATAGCACATTAAATTAAAATTGAATTCTATATTTATTTGGAGTAGGAAGTGACCGAACACCATTCTTATTATTTGAATCTTCCTTGTAAATCCCATCTCTTTGCAATGATCCTCTTCTTCCTTGAATCCCCCCTGGAGAGAATATCCTTAATTTGGATTCAATGTTTGATATCTTACTTGAATCCGGTGTACCCAAACTTCCAAAATCAATTTTTCTAGGAGGTGGGATAAAGCTTCTTTGTGTATCTTTGTAAAATGAACGACCTGGAGATTCTCTAGCCATTACTCTGGGTGGATCAAGTATACTCTTTCCTGGTGAGTCTCTAGGACCAACCATTATTGCCCTGGTTGGAGATTCTCTGTTAATACTAGATCTTGATTCTCGGTTGACACTATTTCTAGATGAAGACTCTCTAGGCCCAGTCCAAGATGATTCTCTAGAAGTAATTACATCTGATTCACGGCTAGATCTACGATAACGTCCATCTGGTGGTAAAGGTGATTGCCTGAGTGATCGTTCTAATGGTTCAAACTTAACAGAAGAGGGACATTCAGTAGGTGTATTTGGGGCTGTGCTAGCATCACTAGATGTATCCAGGGAATTCAAGGAATTTTTACGGCTGTCGTTGAAATGACTGTATTCACCTAACTTTTTCACATCTTTAGACTTGACATCCGAATCACTGAGACGACCATACTCTCCGACTTTGCTGCTAGATTTTCTGTGTCGTTTTGGCCGAGGAAGTGAACTAGGAGGTAAACTTCCACAACGGCTTTCTTGTGTTTGGCGTTGTGCTTGGGAACATAAACCTTGTTTCTCCAAAAGCATGATGTCATCAGCCCGGTGGCCAAGGAAATTTCCAGTTACACCCTCCAGTAGTGGTTGGGGTGTTTTCGCTTTTCGCGACAAAGAGCCCGTATGAGAGAAGCCTGGAAAACAGCAAAGACCTCTCTGAAAACAAAAACAAACACGTCCCCCCATCCAGGCACCCAGTAAACGTCCAATTCTCTTGCATATTTATATTTTGTTTAATCAAACCGAAATTCAAATGAAATAAAACTCATGCCTGATTAATTCACTCAAAAAAAAAAAAAATATGTTAAAACAAAAAGAACGAAATTCAAAATGTTCAAACACAATAAGATACTTAAAAATGAGAAATTATACATAATTATATTTTTTTTTCCAAAACAAATCGGAGTTATTATTTTATTAATTACTTTGTTTCATTTTTGGTTACACTTTTTTCAAATATTTAACACATACATTTAGTTGAAAATCAAACTTTCAAGTAGGGAGAACGTGTTAGTTACGTTACCTGTTCAGCATGACAATTAACAACATTTAAATGCTGATAATTTATAAAATAAACACCCATACAGATACAAAATATAAAGTAGAGTGAGTACAAACTAAATAGACAAAACGAAAAATGTTTGTTATATATTAAGACAAACAAGACAGTGTTCAACAATCAAAACAAATAGACAACATCAGAAACTGAATCAGGGTAAGATGATTCTGCAACAGTATTGTTTACCTTGTTCAATAGCTGCGAGTCCAATTCTTTTAGTTGGTCATCTAATGATTTATGGTCAAAACTCTGGTTTGTAGATGAATACTTATTACCATGGTGGTGGTGATAAGTACTGTCAACACTACTTGTATATGAATTGTTTGAGCCAAAACCTAAGAAACAATTAAAAATTTTATGAATAAAAAATCTACATAAAAAAATAAGTGATAACAGATTATATTTTAACTTATTTATAGTTTTAGCTAAGACATATTATTTTGTCTAAAGCTAAATTACCAACATAAGTTTCATAATATGAAGGACAGAATCAACTTGAAATAATTTATGTAAACATGGTACATTCTTAAGTTAAAATTCTATGAAATACCATTTTTCATTTATATCAGTATTTTTAATTAACCGAATAAAACTTCACTACTTAACAGGCATGAGTAATTTTTAKTAGATAAGAAAAAATTTACTAATATATTTATACATAATATGATAAACAATATGAAAAACCCACTACGATATAGGTATTTTAAAAAGCAATCAAATCATCAAACTATCAAATTAAAAGAAACAGGACGACTTGAAAAATAATATTGAATACTTAAATTTAAAAGGAATAAAGTGCACAATATTTACTGTACAAACTACATGAAACAACCAGTTTTCTTTATTAAATTATTGCAGTAAAATCCTATATCGTAGTGGGTTTACAATATTTACTGTACAAACTACATGAAACAACCAGTTTTCTTTATTAAATTATTGCAGTAAAATCCTATCAGCTGATAATACTTATTTTTAAACCATTTGATATTTATACACAATTTATAGTATCTACCTACCTATGAGATATACGAGTAATTTAGAATATTCTCAGGATATCAAATATTCATATTTTTAAATATCTCCAAAATTTTTTTWAAATAAATTTGTGATAAAAACAAAATATAATAGATATTTAAGAAAAGCTGGTATTATGTCAATCGTTACATACCATAAACAGGAAAAAAATTATTCTATACAAGATACAACTATAAAAGTTTATTCTAGAATCAGTAGTAAATAGTAATAGTATTTTAATTATAAAAAAAAATAAGGTTGAATATTTCCTCGAGTGGCCAAGTTGTACTATCTTGTATTCTAGTCATATACCATATATTGCAGGGGCGATAAACCTTTATTAGTTTTTTAAGGCTAGTACCTACTAATTTTTTTCAATAAAGGGTTTGATAATTTTTCAAGTGCCCAAAGTTTGTAAAAACTAAATAAAACAATAAATATAGTGGTAATATAGTAACATAATCAATTTGTTTATTAAAAAAAATGTTAATAATTTATTTATTTCAATTTTTTACAAGCAACATTTTAAAAATAGCATAATTTTTCTTAATTTTAATTTTTGCGTGCCATTGAAATTTAACAAATGTGCCACTTTTAGCACACGTGCTGAGGGTTCACCACCCCTGATATATTGTGTACAGTTAACATCTATTTAAAAATAAGTATAATTTGTCATTAAGATTATACTGTTATTGGTAATACCACAGAATAACATAATACATTAAAATGTAAAAACTGATAGTTCAGAGTTCCAGATTTTATAGTACATTTAGCATGGTCAGATATTGCAGAACATTTACAATACTGAGTAGGTAATATGTAAGTGCCAATAAAAATAAAATTATAACATTTATACATTTAATTCATTTATTTCACAGCATAGCGAAGATTAATGGACAAAGATACTTGGTAAACAAATAATAATAACGTATACATCAATTTACACAATATTATCTTTAAGTTATACCATCATAACATTATTTTAATATATTATATATTTACCGAGGTCATCAGATGTTAGGTCTGTAGTATTAAGACTTGAATGTGGAGTATGATGACTAAGACATATACTTGGATAGGACCCGGACACATCTTTTTCAAAACTATGTTTTTTTTGCAACACCCTTATCATTGCATCCCGTTCTGCYAATCTAGATTCCAAATCTTTCATTCTGAAATCAATTATTAATTAAACAAAAAATTGATCATTGAAATACAATAAATATACATATACAATTGTAGAATATTAAATTCAAATACCGCGATTCTAATTCGCTGACTTTTTTTTGTGCTGCATGAACTTCTTCCATTTGTTTTAACTTATCTGACCGTGCTTCTGCAATCAGTTTTTCACTTTCTTGACCTGTCTTTTCTAATGCTGCTATTTTTGCATCCCTAAAATAGTTTATTTTACTAAAAGGATGTCACCGCAATATTGGTTTTCACTCTGAACTACAGGCAACAAAGATAAAGCTATTTCACCAAAAAAWGCTTTTTTTTTAATGATTTTTGAGTAATCTTAGATTAAAATCAGCTATTAAAAAAATACTGAATATAATATTTTTGAGGGTATGACGTATYGGTTTTATATTTTATACTAATTTGACTAAGTATTTGACTTTCAATAAAATAAAAAAATGTTTGTAAATTTAAATGATGATTTAATTATTTTAATACAGATTAAAAAAAAAGATTTATCATACCCTCATAAATATTATTTTCTATCATATTTTTAACTGGTAATTTTACTCTAAGATAACTAAAAAAAAAAAGAAATGATTCTGTGTTATGCATTTTGTCTATGTTGTGAGTAATCCAGAGAGTAAAAACAAACAGTGGTATGACAGCCTCTTAAGTAATATAAAAGATATTAGACRTATAACTTACTTTGGTACACTTGCAGCATCTATTGCAGCTTGCCTTAATTCACTTTCTTCTAGATATCGTTGTTCCCATTTCGCAACTTCACCTTCTAGTCGCATTATTTTTTCATCTTTTTCACGTAGCATACGTTTTAATTCCGGTAAACTTTCACCTGGTTCATTTTCTAAAAATGTTTATCATAATTTATTATCATTATACATACTAAAATATACAATTTAAATAAGAATAAATCATTTGATTTTAACTAACCAGCTGAACCATCTTGAGAAGCGTTATTATTGCGTGCACGTTCATTCCGCAGTTCTCGCTCCAGCTGAAGTCGAAGTTTRCGCTCAGTCTGCTCACGACGGTCGCTTGCCAGTTGAAGAGAAGATAATGCTCTTTGAAGCTGGGCAACTCTTTCCACATGAACTTGTTTTTTACGACATTCTTCTTCTAGGCGAACAACATTTGACTGAGCATTAGTTAAGGCAGTATCTAAAATATCAATATGAGTGCGTTGCTCTTCAAGTGTAGCACGTTGTGCAGCTAATTCAATTTCTTGACGGTCTTTAGCTGCTAACAAGTCTTTATCTAAAAATAAAATATAATAGTTAAATATTTATTGTATAAAGATAATAAACAACATACTCTGGGTTATCAATTGAGCTATCATGTTTTCACGTTTTACCATTTGATTAGAATCTACAATGTTAGAGGAAGACAATGATTGTTGATGTAAAGAGCGGTTTGCTTCTTGTAAACGCCTAACTTCTGCTTGAAGTTTCAATCGAGCTGTTCGTTCAAGTCTTTCCCGTCGTTCACTTGATTCTACAAGTTCTTGATGAGAACGATACACCTTAGAAACTTCTTGTTCAAGCTAATAGATAATAATTTAAAATTAAAAATGCTTTTAATATAATCATAAAAATTTTGAGAACCAATTGATCAATTTTAGGTTCATTTAGTCGTCATGATAATTACAAACACGTGAGTAATTAAATATAAACAAGTAAATAATGTTTACCCTGTACGATTTGGCAACTTTTTGATGGCACGATTCCAGTTCTATTTTCAGACTTTTGTTTTCCATCATCAAACAGTCCACTATGGACAACATTTTTTGATCTTTTCTAGAACCATTTAATATATAGAATTAATATTTAATTAATTTTWATTTTAATTTTAAATATATCAGTAGTACCTAGTATTTCCTAGTGTGTGTCTCATGGGATCTGTATCAGARCGTTCAATTTTTAACAAACCGGTACCCAAATTTGGTTGAGACTTTGATTTAACCAAATTTCTTATAGGAATTGGTCGATACTCTGGTAACCTCATATTTTTATCATTATCATGCCACCGAGACAAGTTAGTGTCGCGTTTTGATGGATCCACTTTAACTTCTTTAGCAAGGTGTTTTAAGACCTAAAACATAAATACTTAAATACAAACTGTTTTAATAAGTAATTAGGGTATAAAATAAAATTATACATGAGATTGACTGAGGTAATCATCCGGTATATTGGTTATTTCCCTAACACCCATGTCAACATTATGTCGTCCACCATTTTTATGTCCTTGATTTTTTATTTCTTCTCTATTTCCATAACGATATTTAGGTATGCCAGAACTGAACCGTGTACCATCGTCATTGTGAATAATTAGTGTATCATAAGCTGATGGTGATGATATGCTGAAGTCTTTATGTGTTTCTTGTCCCTGTGGTTCTTGTCTAATTGCTGTTCTGCGTCCATCATTAGTGTCATCAAATGATTCACTCTCACTACCACTATATTCACCACTCAACACTAAAATAAAAACTTTTTGTTAATAATAAGGAATAAAACACAGCTGTTAATAAATGAATGAAACGCAGTAGAGCATATTTTAACATACTAAGTAAGTGACACTAGTGCCTCCCAGTGAAAAAAAATTAAGACTGAAAGGTTTGTTTAACCTACATTTAAAAGAAAATTTTACCAAAGAATAATGAACCTAGTGAACATTGCTTAAAATATGGTCTGAAACACAGCACATATTTGATATTAAATAATTTAAAAGGAAAAATTAATTTTTTTTWAAAGTGGGCAAGTGGGTACTGCTCTTCTAGAAAGGTCACTGTAATGGATATGTTAAATTTTAATTCATCAATGATATAAAATCATTGTACTTAAATCGAAAAAAAATTTGACTAAAGATGGTCTGTCAACCTACATTATAATATGTACCAAGTTTATTTGWTAATATTATTGCTATTAAAGTAACTKTTTTAATATAGACATAAGTAATAAAGTAGAATTTATTTTTGCCATAAAAATTGCATTTGTGTATAAATATATACTTTCAAGTAAGTACCAAACAATTAATTCACACATAATATTTTTGATTTCAATAAAATAACATATTTATATACCTATATTCTTTGAATAAACATCTATAAAAAAAAGTTTGAAATTTGAAACTACAAAATAATTACAGCAAATTTTCGAGATTTTGTCAAAATTTKAATTTTAATATAAGGTATACATAAATAAATCGAGCTTATGYACCTCTAATATTTTTGAACTGCTTTTAAACSAACTAAGAGGAACCTTATATTAAATGTTCAAACATTTTAATCTATAAAGAAAAATGTATAGACATTTAAAGAAAATAAACAAAACATATTGAATATTTTTATCGTCTATAAATACCTCAAAAGACTCAAAATATCTATTTTTAAAATCATATTATACATAAAATATTATAGAATAAGCATTAGGTGAACATTTCAAATATCTACAGTTATTTGTTTATGAATTATAACAAAATAAAAAACTAGTTRAAAAAATCTAATGCCACCGTAAAAATTTGAACTACAAACAACATTTTGTTGTTGTTTATAAATGGTTGCAATTGGTTGCAGATTATTATATTGTATAGGAACAGTAAAAATTAGTATTTTGTGTGTGTGTGTTTAAATGGTTGGCGGTTGTCATTACTCTGGCAATTCGCAATTGCCAGACACAAGCATGCTTCAAATGGTCTAGTTTACTTGGGCTTAATTAAAGAAACTTTAACTTAAAACCAAATATATGTTTGTACATAGGATATAGCCTATGTACTTGAAACTAATCGATAGATTTTGACGAAATTCTTTGTTTTTAGTTATCAGAAAAATTTAGGGGATAGGTAAGTAGTTTAAGCCATGTACTGATGTACTAAATCCAATCCTAAACTGACGACGGGTTGGTCAATGAACAGAGGTAAACTAAGACTTAGATACATCTATAGGTACATAGCATATATTGTATAATTTATAGTATTATACTAACTACTAGATAAGATTTGCTGCAAGAAAAAAAAAYTATGCACGGACGAAGTAATATACAGTTTATAATAGAAGAAAATATTTACTAATTTACTACTATTACGTTTTACGTAAGTCTTTTTTCTTGAAAGATATCAGATGGGTACTTTTATGTTATTTTAGATTCTGAGAGGAGCAATGAATGTATTGATTTTATAATTCAAGAAGAACTGGAATTTAAGTATTTTTATACAACTAGTTTCGAAATAGATTTTCTTTTTGTTGTGAATAACAATTGAACACTATACATAGCCTTTTTCACAGAATGTATTAGGTAATGTTATAATAATTAAATATTTGCCAAGCTAAGTATCTCTAATGGGTGGCTTCTTTTTCAAATAATCCATGTTAAGTTTAGTCTCTTTATCGTGCTTTTCTTACGCTTATTGTGCATTAAATTGTATAGATTGTATACCTATATTATACTGCTGTAAAAAAAAAAAAAAAAAAATTAATAATAAGATAGATGCAATATTGTTGACAAAAATTGATTCAACCTACCAACCATAATATTTTATGTTTTATAAAATCAAATATCAATGGTATTACCTACCGGCTACCATAATGGCAAAATAGATTAGTTTCATTATAAATACATCATAGAATAAAYGTAGTAAYATTGACCTTTTTCTTTCTAGAATCGTTTTTCGTGTACAATGATTTATCATTAAATACAATTTTACGMAAATAATATCAGTGACTTTCGAAACCTATATTGTATAGCAGTGCGGTTACCTATTTCCTCCCCTTATTATTCTAATATACATGTGACAAGCATTCAAAATTACTTTTTAAAAGTATTGTTTAAAGATTGTCTATATTATTCAATAGGACATTTTTCCACGAATATAATAAGACTGATGGAAAATTTAAAAATATCAAATCATCTAATAATTATCTAGCAATGTTTTTACAGATTRTAGGTAATTAATTTATTGTTTCTAATGATTCATTTTTTATCATTTCGATGTTTAATTTTTCTATTGCTTATTAAAAAAAAAATTAAATAGTTCATAGATATATCGTTATTAACGAAATTGTTCAACGCTCAGAGGTCAAATCAACTACAGATAATAATGAAACGCATTGGAAACATATTTGTTAAATGTTGTAGAAGTATAATATAGACTTATACCTATAAATTATTATTGCAAAACAAATACACATTTTTAATGTTTGCATTTTCAAAATTTCGGCAAACTAGACGAGCTGGCGTGATTCAATTACCTTTTGTTGACTGTGTTTTGGTCGAGTATGAACGGTACGCGATTGGCTTACTTCTCGGCGAACTCATTATTGCACATCACTTGCGTCCTTAATTCTGTAAAATCGGAAAGAAACAGATCGGTAAAAATCAAAACAAAAACATCATTTTCGATGCGATAAGCAGTTAATTATTGGAAATCGGGTTTATTGTTGTAAGTTGGCACGCGGTTTTACAGTAGTACAAATTCAAACGTCTRAAATGTATATAATATGTACTTTGCTAGTAAGWAATACTATTCTTAGGTACTTATCTAATAATTAATAAACGTAAATATATCAAAAATAGCATCCAACGACTAGTTGTCGTCAAAATAATTCATCGACTGATGCGGTTCACGCACAGATTATTTTATTATTATAATATTCCATCATTTAGATCTGATTGAATAATGTAACACACACGCCCAAAATACGGATTTTGTCGTAAATTAAAACAAATATCACGGTCCACTGAACACGGAGGGACAAGTGGGTAGCCATCACCTCTCTGGCCCGTTCGCAACATGGACAAAACGCATTTAATTTAGGCAGAATTATTTTTTGTTCTTTTAGAGCAGTTTTAAAAATAAAATCATCCATTATAACATTTAAAGAGAACAATAATTTTGAGGGTATGATATATCGATTTGTCTAAATATTGTCTCAAAAACAATTAAAWWTTTTTTTATTCTGAAATTCGAATACAAATTCAAATAATAATAAAATATATAACTGATACCTACGTCAAAACCAAAAAAATAATTATCCTCAAATAATATTATTGTATTAGGTTTACTCTAAAAATCGTAAATAACGATGAAGTGTTTTATGTATGTTGCGCATGGGTTYGAGAGAAAAAACAAATATTGCACTGAAATCTTCATAACGTAAAAACTTCAAATGTTACACAATATCAAACAATTATCTTTTGCGAGAATACCTAGCTATTGAAAATTAAGTAAAATATTTTAAATAAGGGGAAAATAAAAAGTTAGAGTTCACAGTTAAATTCATCTTATCAACAAAATAGATATTTTATTATTTTACAAGGAATAGTCAAATTGGCTAAAGAATTAAAATCTGAATTATTTATGTTTTAAATTTGGGTTCTAATTAAAATAATAAGTTGAATCTGCAATATAATGTGTCACTATAAATTTGCAAGACTTGGTTATTTTTTTAAATTAGTTCAAACCAATCATTCAGCTTGAAATAAGACTTATAATTACCACTGTTTTCTAAATCCATTTAACATACAGATTGCACCCTGTGATCCATTTAAAAAACAGATAAACTCAAGTGCTTAGAATAAGTAAAATTTTATATAAAACTATAACTTTAAATCATTTAGCAGCAATAATATACAGTGTTTCTGAATTGTATGAGGTAATTAGTATATGCATACTCATTGTGATGCCACAATGAAGATTTTTTTTCTAACTTCAAAATCTATGGTTTTTAAAGTTATTTTTTGAATATTATCTTGAGTGTAACAATAAACACTTTATCCATAATTATTGCTAAATTCTCATACGAATCAAGATTTCACATAGTTTATGTGTTTGTCACGTTCGAATCGCCAATTAAAAGTCGTGTGATATATCGGTCTGTATGAGAACACTGTAAGATAACCAATGGTGATAATTATTTGTTGTCATTGAACATACATAACTAATTAAAACATTGTTTTACATTGTAAACTAATAAAAAAGATGAAATAGTACCAAAATTAGGGTTTAACAGAATTTAAAATGATCAAATTTATTGCAATACATGTATGAGTATGTTATGTGTTTCAGAAATCTAGGTATTAAAATAAATTAAAACTTTAATAAATTAACTTTAACTTTATAATTGTTAGGGATAAAAGGTAACATGTGACCTATGAATGATCACGGATGCCGAGTATTGTACGTAATGTAGCCAACTAAGGATTGGTACTWGATTTAATACACAAAGATCAGGAATTTGGTGTTTGACACATAGCCTCAAGATTTCTCCATCAATAGTATGGAGATTATTACACTAAAACAACATGTATTATTATCATCAGCAACAAGTTCAAGAACTAATACCACACGACTATCCAACTAGGTTAATTTTTTGCAATTATTGATAAGATTACAATAAAACCAAATTTAAAAAAAAATATTTTATTTACTGACAAAGTTGCATTTACAAAAGATGGGATTTTTAACTAACAATTGAAATTTGTGTTCTGAAGAAAATCTGGATGCTATTCGTAAAAGCCTTATATAGTATAAAGAATTCCTAGTACAAAGCTAGTATAAATATTTGGTATGGGTTAGTTGGAAATACTTTATTACTTTATTAGGTCATTAAAAACTCAGTTAKCCCTAATTTTGTTATTACTTCATCTTTTTTATTAGTTGATAAAGTAAAACAATGTGTTAATTAATTATGTATGTTCAAAGACAACAAATAATTATATCACAACTGGTTATATTGCAATGTTCTCATACAAATCGACTTCACACTAATTTTTTTTAAATTGGCGACGAACGCGAAAAACGCGCGACAAATACAAAAACGATGTGAAATCTTGATTCGTATAAGAATTTTTTAATACGGCCATTTTATTTTTACATTCAAGATAATATTCTAGAAATAACTTAAAAACTTTAGATTTTGAAGTTAGAAAAAAATTTCAAAAAAAATCTTCATTGTGGGTGGCATCACACTGAGTATGCGTATGCTAATTACCTCACACATTTCAGAAACACCATGTATAAAATAATAACTTAATATTAAGTAGAGTTATATAATTAATAAAATAGAGGCCTGATGTGCTACGTGGTTGGCTGCAGTTACAAACTTGAGGTCAAGAAAAGGCCGATCACAATAGTTCCCAGATGGGTGACTACCAATGTTTTCAGTCACAAATTTTCTCCCCGTATACACTCATTCCAAACAAACTATACCCCCTCCSCTTTCAGAAAAAAAAAAAATACAATAATTATTGTAATTTTTTTTTTTATTAAACATCAAAATCAATATGACAATTATAATACAGTGGTTCAAGTTTCTACAAAAAAAATATACATATCTTTTTTTTATATGTACAATGAAATTTCATAGCATACAAATTAAACAAATTGATCATTTATGAAAAAAAATACAATAAACATAGCAAATTTATATAAGTATCTAAAATATTTTTTGAATTGTTGGTAAACCCAATTTTAACAGTAAAATTAATATTAATAATCATGATAATACATTATAATAAAAAACAATCATTATAATAAAAATAATCACCAATTAAAAATAATATATACAAGTAAAAAATATATACATCTATTTAAGTAAAATGGAAACTTACAAATTATATAATTAGGTATTTCTATATAAAATAACCGATTTCCATACATAAAAAATGAAGTAATCACTCAAATATATTTTAAATTATATTTTTCTTATTGCAAAGCGCATAAAATTATTGCTGATAATTGTCATTCATGCAAAAAAAAAAAAATGAACAATTGACACTCAGTCATATATTTTGGACAAGAAAACAAATTTAACAAGAAAACAATGTACACATGGAATAAAAGTAAAACTAGCTGTCCAAAAAAATTACTGAAATATCACCCATTAATTYGATGATAGACAATCACTAATATATTTTGTGTTGACTACCAATATAGTATTAAAATTAAATTAAATTGCAGTCTTGGTCATAACATTTAAATGTTAGTTAGTGGATATACTAAAATTTGTAATGCATAATATTGAAAATAAGAAGTGAATATTATGAAAGTTAAAGAAGGCAAAACTAAAATTAATAACTTCAATATTATTAAAAAAAAATAATGTATATTGTGATACGTTATAATCGTTAACAAAAATAAATAAGAAATTTGCAGCACTTCTTTAATAAGAATTGTAAATAAAAAAACTACCTATTAATGATTTTCTCTCTTTTAAACTTCACCTGTGTAATTTAAATATTATTTATTTATTTATTAATAAAAAAAAAATTAATTCATCAAAAATTAAAATAATAAAAGCAAAATTAAACATCAAGTCGTTTATAATATTAAATGTCACAATTCTAATCATAT